GGGGGGCTGGGGGGGGGGGGGGCTGCTCAGGAGAGGTGGCTCCCCTGCTCCCCCACAGAGCACAGCTCCCACACAGCACGTGGAGTGCCCTCCCTTGCAGGGCCACCATTCCCCCCTGCAGGGCTCCAGCCCCCCCCACAGGGCAAGCCCCTCCAGGGGCCACAGATCACCCCTGCAGCAGCAGCAGCTGTGTGGCACTCAGAGCCCACTGCTGCCAGCCCCCTGTGGCGTGGCATGACCCCGATCACCTCAGAGCCGGTGCTGCCTGGGCTGCTTGGCGCGGGTGTGGATTAGCTCAGCACGGCACTGTGTGGGACCATGCACCTTTCTGCAGCTCCAGGGCCACTCATGCTGTCACCCAGAGGCTAGCACTGCTCGTGGGAACCGCATGTCATGCCAGATCAGGTTCTGCATACATGGGTCCCGTGTGCCACCGGGCTAGGCTGATTCCATGGAGGCAGGACCCCGCCTGGCATGACATACAGTCCCTGCAAGTGGCATCAACCTCTGGGTGACAGTGCAAGCAGCCCCAGGGCTTCAGAAAGGTGCATGGCCCTGCACAGCTCCATGCTGAGCCAGGCTGCACCCACAATGAGCAGCACAGGCAGCGCCGGCTCTGAGGCAATCAGGGCTGCGCCTCATTGTGGGGGCTTGGCAGCAGCAGGCCCTGAGCACCACACAGCCACTGCTGCTGGAGGAGAGGGGGGCCTGTGGACCCTGAGAGGGACCCATGCCCCCTCACCAGCTCCCCCCACACAACCTCTCCCCAGCCTTCTCCAACACCCACAATCCCCCTCCTTCCCTCACAATCTCTATTTACCTCCAACAGCACCTGGGTCCCAATCCTTGCTGTGCTTCTGTTTGCCCCGGCATGCGAAGGGTGCATGCCCTGTGTGCTGGGGCAGCAGAAGCACCATAGAGATGCTTTGGCCATAAATCAGAGCATCTCTCCGGAGTACCAGCTTCCCAGTTACCTCAGGGCATGGTACCGAACTGTGCTCTGCCCCAATTTTTTACTCTACAGTAATTTTTTATACCTGGATATTCAGCTATCAAATTTTGAGCCCTTGCTGCTAATATGCAGTAGTGGGAACATTTTTTCATTCGCAGCGTGCCTCTTGCTGCATCTCAAACTGGTTTGGGATGCTGCAAGAGGCACATTTGCACTCGTCTGGATGCGCCCTTAGTAAGCAAAGAGGCACATCGCCATTATCTTTCTGTGGAAGGATCATTAGGGCCCAGTTCATCAAGGAGATCCTGCAGTTTGGGGATGAGGCCTTTCTGAGATGGCTGTTTACAGCCAGAAATAGGTTCCACATCACATAAACATAGATATTCTGAACACAGCCTGGCTGTCCTGGCTTCCCAAATGAATCCAGGTTGTAAGGCAGATGGTGTGCTACTCAGCATATGGTCCAGTTCGTTATTGAATAAGGAACTGGAGCCAGTGCCAGATTGAGAACTGCCATCCAGAGCCTCTTCTAAGTTATCTTGAGTCCCTTTACTTTTCCCTGTGCTGCTGTCTGGTCTGGTTGTTGCCCAACCAATTTCGAGCTGTTTCATCACATTGCTGAACATTCCTTTTCTGGGTCTCCAAGTGGTGTATTTTGCTCTTTTCATTCCACAGGTTAACAAAGGTTTTAACATTGAGTTTCTTTCTGAGCACTCTTCTCAATGCTGGTAGGACACTGGAGATGACCAAACCTGAAGAAACTACATGCTAGGGGGCTAGAGGGAAGAGGGCAGTTAGGATGCAGTGCAGAGGCAAACAAAGGTAGACAGAATATAGTATATGTAGTCCTGGAAGACACAGGACTTTGGTGTTAAGGGGAGTGGTGAACAGAGGGTGGCAGACTACTTATGACAGGTTTTGGCTATGCACATTGTAGGAAAATCAAGTTAGCAAAAAACCAGAATCATTGAGACTTGTGGTCTGCCTTTTACTTCACTGCAGAGTTGTACAACACTTGTGTCAATTGTTCTTGTCAATGCACAATTTGTAATTCACCATCAGTTAAGTCTGTCTGTAATGAAGACAAAGTCTCTAATGGGAGCAAAGTTGCCAGTAATTTTAATGAAGGCAGTGAGGCCACTGATAAGTGTTCTTGAAAATCCCCCCCTTATTGGATGCCAATGAAAACTCTCTGTATCAGGATTACCAACACACTATTAAAACCTTTATTGCACGTATATAGTCTCATACCTTAGCTATGCCATAGCAATAATATTAAAATGAAACACTTATTTAGTGCTTTGCACCTTCAAAGCATTGTACAAACATTAACTAATATCCTACCTTCCCAACCTCTATCCACAGCACAGGTATCTAAGGGGATCTGACCTAAGGGGAGGTATACATATACCTCAACAGCTCTGATTGTATCATACAAGCCAACACATCAAAGAGTATATAATTTTATGAAGGAGTGAGCACTCTGGGGGAAACTGTCATTGTGGAACATTCCACCTGAGGGAAATCTAACCCCTTTTCTGGCCAATAATTAGTGGCTTTTGGCACAATTAGATCAGAAAAAAGCCTACTTAGCTAATTAAAGGGGCTGCCATGCACTGGAGGACATATATATAACTGAATCGCTGGTGAAGTGGTACTGAATACTTTGTCAATATTTGATTTTGTTGAGGTAACAGTTTGAGCAAAAAGCCTGGTGAGCTAGTTTGCTAGATACGTTCTTGTTAACTATCGTATGTTATTAAATAATTCCATCCAAAACTGGTCAAAAACAGTGTCAGTTAATGCTGTATTATACTCATATCTAAAGCTGGAAAAGAATTCTAATGAACACGATAAAAACTGTAGCAATTACAATATTTTCTTGCATACAATACACACCTTTCCCCCCCAAATCAACCCTCCAAAACTGAGGTGCATGGATTAAGTGGGGAAGTTGATTTTCTGTACCTTGCTTTGATTCCTTCTCCACAGTGCAGCAGCTGTTCCATTACTGTTCAGGCAGCTGAGGGAGTCAATTCACTTAATGGCTTCTTGTTCTTCACTCCATAGATGTTAATAATTGTCTCTCTTTTTTGATGGTCTTGATGTTCCACTAATCAAGCTAACCTTCCTTAGGGCAATTTTGCTCTCTGCTACCTGATCCCAGTTTCTTTCCTTCTGTTTAATAGCCCTGGAGACTCTTTATCTCTTTTCAAAATCATAGATCCACTTGTGGAAACCAGTGTTCAGCAGCAGCTAGGGTTTCAGCTTTACTTAACAGAAAAGAGAGGGTGAGTTGTGTGAAGAATAGGCTCTACCTGTGCTGTGTGCAGCCATAACTCTGGAGAAATCTTTCATTTTTCTTTGTTCTGCCATTCAAAAACAAAGTATGTGTATATTCTAGGGTGTGTTATATGTGAAAAAATATGGTACTACCAATTTATAATTTTTGAAATTTAGGCAACTTCTATCTTGCATCCAGCACCAAGAAACAATCTCTTGTTTTTCTTTAAAAAAAAACTCCCAATATCCACAGGAAAAAAATGGATGTCAAAATGGATCCTATCGGTGGAATAAGTTTTTCTAGTTATTTAGAAAGATTGAAGCTCATTTTTTCATTCCCTCTCTTTTCAGTGTAGAGAGTAACAACCCTTTTCATTAATTTAGTAGAAAAAAATTGCAGCTTATTTTTACATAGGCATGGTTTTTGATGTATGGTTCCAGATGTGAGTAAGGAAAAAAAGAGTATATGTTCTGAGGTTTTCCTATGGAGAATTTCTTAAACCTCAGATATGAGCCTTGAGTAGAACTAAAAGACATAGTATGGGGTGCATAAGAGATGTTTTTGACACAATAGGGTCAGGAAAGTTACAGACACGTTCTTTGCTGGCAATTTTGGCAGAAATACTAAAACACAATGTGGGAACTGCAAACCTTATGACATTCAGTAAAATGTGAAAGGCTTCACTTTTATAATATATGACTTGATGTCACGTATATGAGTTGGTAGTTTTTGCACAATATATAATGAATCTCGCTTTTTTCCCTGAAGTTTGAAAAGATTTTTTTCCCAGTGTAAATAATGTATGTTTGAAGTGCAGCATAAATTTAAAACCCTTTTTTGTATGGGTATGAAACCCACCCCCCAACCTTGTTTTTTAGCTTAATGATTCTTTATGTAAATCATTTTCAGTGTCAAACTGGTATTGTACAGCATAGAAAACTTACGGAATAAAATGAGCAATATTTGAGAGGTATGAACATATATGAGGAACTGAAATTACTCTTTCTCAACTGCCTGTTTAGCACTTGCAATTCAGTTATGAGTTCCCATTATTCTGTGGTGTTGTGTGTTTACTGCACTTGTCAGTCTAGGCCAACCATAAGGAAATCAGAGACATCTGGGATGCTGCCTGCTTGCCCACCCGCAAGGTGCTCTGCGCCACACCGACTCCCAGCCAGACTGTGCCCCACACCCCTCCATTTCTGGGATTCCCATTATAATTCTTAACTGGCTGGGACCGGCTTCTGAAATCTGGGACTGTCCCAGCTAAACCAGGACATATGGTCACCCTATATCAGCTACATCTAATATAACCTGACCAGCTCTTTCTGGTTATTTGAGAGAGTCGCTTTGGTATGTAGCACTGGAATGTAGTGCTGTGTCTTGGAAGTCACAGATGCATTTCCAGATCAAAATGTTTGTAAGCCAGTCCTTGTAATTCTCTCTGCAAGAACATTAATAGGAAGGCAGGGACCTACATAGTGTTCAGAGGGCACATCTACATGAAATGTTTACTGCGGAGTAGACAAATTAGCTCTGCAGTAAAAGTCTCGTGTCTACTCATGCTGGGCTATTATGCTGGAGTAAACTAATTAACTCTGTAGCACCACACGTGAAGATGTTGGAAGGGTTGGCCAGGGCATGAGGGTGTTTAAGCACGGGGGCTGCCTGCCAGCTAGCCCCGCACTGGAACACCTTTGTGCCCCAGCCATGTTGAGCTGGAGGGAGCAGCCCCAGGCTGGCAGGCTGCCCCGCAGGCCTCCCTGCCAGCTGGAGCTGCTCTGACCCAGCTCAACATGCTGTGGTCCCAGGTGCACATTCAAACACATCAATTGCATGAGTAGACACACCCAGACTGAATCCCTGGAAAGGCCTAGGTAATTGAGAAGAGACACTGTCTGCACGGAGAAGGGGAATGAACCCATGCTTGCATATGGATTGGTATACTAGCGCAGCATGTCTAGACTATACTATGGCACATCAGTGGTTGCAGTGTAGACATATCCCAGCGTGGCAGTTTATAATATGCAGGGTGCATGGAAAAAATAAGCTAGGCTTCATATACTTCCTGCAATTTCTGGACTTAAGCAGTCACAAGAGGTCTGTGAAGTAGAATTACCAACCATATTAAATGACAGTCAATACATCTGAGTGTTGTGTTTTTTAGTGGATTTCCTAATTAAATGGAGTATACTATATTACATGGGACTCTGAAAATGAAAAAGAAAACCTTTCATACTTGGCTTTCTTTCTAAGTTTTCATAATATGAAGTCCAGAAGGAGCCCCAGGACAGAAGACAGATAAATTGCATTCCCAGGCCATGGAAGTACATACCCATTCTCTTGCTCATAGAGAAGGGAATAGCATGCATACACATACACGCAGGCTAGTATTCAGTTTGCTTGCACAGCCTATTAGGGAAATTAAAGCCAATTTGAAATGTGTAAATTTAATGTTTGTGGAAGTTGTTGTTACGTGTCAACTAATCATCATGAAACATCTACTCCATTAAACATTCACATTCCAGAAATAAAAACATTAATTAATACCTCACTGACAGGGAGCCCAGTTTCCAAAAATATTGAGAGTGATAGATCTTGATCCAGCATCTGCTCAACAACACTGGCAAGATGCCTGATGGTTTGTAGCAGCAACTACCTCTGCTGAACAAAATACACAAAGAAGGCTAAAATCAGGCCAGTAATGGGAGCTAACAGTTTGGGAAGAAAATAGAATGAAACATATTAAAAAGAATATTCTTTTGCATGGATGCTCTTGAGTAGCTCAGTCCATGTTAAGAAGAAATGAATGAAGGACCTCTGACAATACCACTCGTCAGAGATGAAACCTTAGTGGTAAAATTGAAGGCAATACAACTGCCCATTCTTCCATGCAGTTTGAATTCATTTGTGCGTGACAGTATGAAAATGAAGCCTGCATTACAAAAATAATAATAAAAATAAAAAATTCAAAATGGAATATGAAGTTTAATTGCAAAGTATCAGAACATTTGAAACTGTTCTTGATTTAATGTAATGCCTCCCTGGCAGAAAGTGAAACTGTCTTTTCATGGCAGTGGTCAACCAGTGGAATTTTTCCATGTTTTTTTGGATTCAGATGCAGTTCCTGGCATTTGATACTCCATTTGGATGGATGCTCTTTCAGTGAGTACCGGAGGTGGAGCAAGATGGAGAGGTTCTGGAAACAGTGGTGGTCTTATCACGGCTCCACATTAATGTTAGGAAATGGCCAAAACCATCTGCAAAATAATTTTGGAGAGAATGAACTAAATGTCACTGAATGTTTCACTGACAGAGAAAGAGAGAAAGACTTAAATTACAGGCTTAACCTGGCTCACTATTTCCTTGTAATAAGAAACCATTTTAACATAGGCAGCTTATAAATAAATAGTCTTCCTTTTTCAATGTGGAAAATATTGCGTACATTGTGTAATATATATGTTATATAAAAACAGTCTCTTCTGGCTTGAAGTTGTGAAACTGCTGCTCCATTAGCTCAACAGGCAGAGCCATGGGACCCTGGGCCCCATCCCACCAACACTAGCGTGGCTTGGTAAATTAATTTGGTCTTTGGCATGGTTATGTATTTATTTAAGGTGATGTTCGTTAGCTTCTAAAGGCTGAATGGAAAATCTCACACCTGATGCTCAATTCATGACCTTGTGTGCAGAGCCCCAAGGGCTGAAACTGATGGTGATAGAATGTAAAGAGTGGTAGGTAATGTATGTATTCCAGTGGCTACGGTTGTCTAGTATTAACCAGAACATTGGTCTGCAGACTAATATCCTGATCCTGCAGGGCCTGTTCAGGATTAGACCCCAAAATCTAGCATTATCAGCAATGTCACCCTGTAATTGAATTTACTAGGCCACAGGGGTTAATAAAGTGGGGTTGTTCTGGGTCTAAGAATACCAGTCACTGGAAATTAATCTCTAATTTCCCTTCAGTCAGAGCTTGCTGTCAGGCATGTTCAAGGGCTATTTTATGGGCATGTACCATTTTTCTTTTCTTTTTTCTTTTATTAAAAAATGACTTTTTGTTTCTGCATTACTGGCTCTTTCTCCCCGTTAGCACTTTTGCCCTCTTCCTCAGCTCTTTATTTTGGTAGATGAATAATATTGTCTCTCCTCATCTTTCTCATCCTCTTCATGGTATGATTTCTTGCAAGCCTCATAAACGCAGTCGTTGCCTCATTCTTCATGGCCCACATACACTCTTCCCAGTAACTATATTACAGATTGGGGTGCTGTTTCTGTGGAGGAGGTGACTGTTAAAAAAAACCTCTGTTTGGATCAGAATAAAACTTAGGGGAAAAAACTGCTTCTGGTCTGAAGTTTCCTGTGCTTTTTTTCAGTTTAGAGGAAATTTTTTTTCTAGAAAACTGTAACATTCAGGCATTGATTTATGCAGAGGCAGGCAATTATTTTGGGCGGAGGGCCGCTTACCCAGTTTTGGCAAGCTGTCAAGGGCCGCATGGGTAGCCCTGCCCCTTGACAGGTGTTCTACCCTCTGGTCACCATCCTGGGACCAATGTCCCAGGCCAGCACTGGTGAGGCCCAAAGCAGGAGGCAGGCTGGCAGGGGTCTGTGGAGCTGGGCTGGGGTGCACCAGCAGGGAGAGGTGGAGCTGGCCTGGCTCCATAGAGCCCCTACTGGCTGGGACCCCGCACTCCTGCCACCCTGCTTTGGGCCCTGCCAGCACTAGCCCCGGGACACTGGTGCAGGCCCTGTGTTTCTGCTGGCTCCTGCACCTGCTCACTCTCAGTGTCCCCCTAGCCCCGTGGTACAGGTGTGGGGCAGCGCGCAGCCCTGACCCCACGCTTGCCGGCTGAGCATGGGGAA